GGGCAACCACTGTGGAAATCAATATGGAGATACCTCAAAAAACTAGGATTAGAGGTCCCATTTGACCCAGCTATCCCTCTGCTGGGTATGTTTCGAAAAGAATTAAAATAATCATACCACAGTGATATATGCACACCCATGTTTATAGTGGCACAGTTTGTAATAGCTAAAATTTGGAAACAGCCCAAATGCCCATCAACTGGAGACTGGATAAAGAAGATACGAGTTTTTATTTTTTTATAAAATGGATTACTACTCAGCTATAAAGAATGAGAAACTGGAGTCATTTATAGCTCAATGGGTACACATTGAGGCCATACTCTTAAGTGAAATAAATAGGGCACACATGTGCAAATACCGAATAGTTTCTCTGGTGTGAAAAACTAAAAGTGTAAATAAGGTTCAAATGTTATAATTGATGATTAATTGTGAAATAGGAAGAAAAGGTCTAAAGGAGTTGGGAAAGTGGGAAGGGTAGGGGAAAGGAAAGAAGGGAAAAGAAAAAAATATGAGAAAAGGAAAAAATGGAAACAAAGTCTCTGTAAATAGGGAAGGGTAGAGGGGGTGAAGGGAGGGCAGGGAATTGGGAAAAAAATAACTAATATACATCATGTAAAGGTACAAGATCCCAACGATGAATGTAACTATTTTATACCTAAAATGTACCAATAAACTTAATGAAAGAAAAATAAAGAATGTGATATATTGGAAATTTGTTGGGAATAGATCTCACGTGTTCTCATCACAACAATGTGTATCAGAAGTGGCTGTACTTTAGTTTTTCAAATCAACTCACTATGTATATATACATCAAAACATCACTTGTCCACTCTAAATACATAAGGTTTGTATTTTGCTCAAATGACACTAGGAAAATTAAAAAAAAATCACTTAATAAAGTTGTTTATAATGATGTCTCATTAACAACATTGGATATTGCTAATTTTTTCTGACTCTCCATTTTATGATTGCTATTGCTGAAGGTTTTCAGTTTTGGTAGTTTTTCAGAAAAATTCTTCCTTGCTTTGCTGAGAGTATTTCTTTTGTGTTGTGCTTCATTATTATTTTTTTTCTTTACTTTTGTTGTGTTTAATTTTGTTATTTTTCTGATTACTTAAAATGGCTGCCTAAATAATTTACTTTTTATATTTCTTCTTGTTCCATGTGCAGGTAAAGGTACACTCTACCTGGGAAGGGGGACAGAGGAAGAAGGGGGAAGGGGACTGGGCTAGGACGATAGAAGGAGGGGGACATGATAAAAGATTAATACATGCATGTATGGAAATTCGGTGGTGAAATCCATTAATTTATACAATTAATATGTTAGTACAGATGTTCCTCATTTAATGACTGCCATGGCTTATGTCTAGATGTCCCCCCAAAGCCTCATGAGGTTATAGGTAGGGCTTTTCCAGAGATGGCTGAATCTAAAGTGTCTGATGCTAGGATTAAGGATGTGTGATTACTAAATCTGTCCCCTGATCAGTTTGCCATAGTTCTAGGTAGAATTAAGGGTGCCCCATGCTAGGTATGAGTGCTATCTGCCCTAAGGGTGGGTAGCCTGCATAAGATATGAGGGACAAAAAGAGGGTCAGTGCTTGTCACTTGCTGCTTGTTGTTCATTGCTTGCTGCTGGTTGGCTTCTGCCTACCCTGGCTTGTCATTGACTGTTTCTCCTCTGCAATGCCCCTTTGCCATGTCACTCTGCCTTGGAGCCACTCAACTATGGACTGAAAACTCTACAAACTGTAAGCCAAATAAACCTTTCCACCTTTAACTCTGAGTCTTGGGTATTCTTTCTCAGCAAGGAGAAAAGTAACTAAGACAATGACTTTCCTGATTAATGACTGCCAGGAAACATGATCAGCATTTGGACTTACAAGGTAGGAATGTGAGCAGCAGTCTGTGTGGCCTTATGGTGGCTTCTTCTACAGTATAGTACTATGGTTTTTGCTGATAGTACCATACAGCACAGTATTATAGTTTTATGTTTTATTGTACATTACAGTACTGCATGTAGGAGTTATGTAAATAAAAGCAAAGTCATGAAGCTGGACTTTCCCATGACCATTTCTTTTTTCTGAATATTGTAATGGACATACTATATACAATTCCTCATTTAGCGACCAATTCATTTAATGACCTAGTCACAGGACCAGAAACTTGGCCATTAAATAAATTGTAATAATAAAAATAAAAGTGCCAGGGATTTAGCTCAGTGGTACAATGGCTGCCTCATGAGCACAAAGTCCTGAGTTTGATCCCTGGTACAAAGAAAATAAATAAATAAATAAATGAATAAAAGTACATTCTTGGTGGGACTATAGCTGCATCACACTAGTTTTCATGGAAGAGATACTTTGTCAATATTTAATATGCAAATGTCTGTCATCTATGAGATACAGAGAAATACTCATTTCTATTATCATAGAAATCTGATTACTATAAAGTAAACATAGTAAGCATACAGGCCATCTAAAGAGTCTTGGATTGGATGACTCAGAAAATGAAGGGCAATGAATGGACAAATGAGTTAATCCCTGAAAATCCAAATCAAGAAATTTTTAAAGATGGAAAATTAAGTTTTATTAGAACTAGAGAGAGGATGGTATAGATAATAAGAAGAGATAGAGGATAGAGAGATAGGTTGATTCTAGGTATTTAAAATGGCCTTTGAAATTTTATTTGAAAATGAGAAATCAAATGTATTCTGTCAATATTAGTAAAGTAATAGAAAGTTTGGGAAAAGCAAGAGAACAGTGATAAACTCTTGCCCCATTGCCTCATTATAAGAGAAAGATACTGGGAAAAAGAATTCCCTAGAGTCTGCTAACTAAACTCTATCAAGGTTTCCAACATATTATGGTTCCATCCCAGGGGAAGCAAGGCCACAAGAAAAATATAAATACTTTTGACTCAGCATAATAAATGGTGTGCCCTAAGAATATGCCAAGGAATTTTTCTTAGAAACTTAGAGAGGTAAGTTTTATTATGGTTAGGCTTGGAGAAGTTTTAAGAGGGATGGAGAAAGAGCCTCTGCCAAGCTAGTGTGGAGAGCTGGAGGAAAGGTGAAAGTATGAAAACAAGATGAGAAGATACACATTTATACAGGGTCCTGAGTGTACACTTTGTACCTGTGTATGGTTCTACTTATGGCCATGCAATGGCACATATGTAAAACTAAAAGGAGAAAGCTGGTGAGGATTTGGACCAAATATCGCATCGATTTAGTTACTGTTTCTCACCCTGTATTATATGTACACATGTGTGAATAGCAAGAGAGCAAAGATTAACTTCCTGTATTTTCAAGAACCTTACCAGATAAGAATAGAAATATGTTTTTGAATTAATGACTTCATGAATAAATGAATATTTAGCCCAGAGGAGTAGACATTTGTGAAAACAGGACTCAAGGCTAGAGTGATAAAACTTCTGAGAAAGGGAACAAGGCTGGATGATAGTGGAATGATCATGAGACTGCAAGATAAGGTGGAGACAAAAAAAGTTATACATTATCTCTTATCCTTACACTCATCACTTCTAGATCATGCGGGTATGTGGGAGTACGGTGGAAGCCAGAGGAACAGGGTAATGTAAGAAGGTGCCGTATTGATAGAACAACTGCTGGGTAACTGGATGCAATCCCATGTAACACGTAAAGTTAGAGGGTCAAATGAGGGACTGGGACCCTGTCTTATTTTTGAACCTAGGTAAAATAGTGGATATATTAATATATGTTGAAATCAGCATACATTTACAGAATATTGAAGTGATTGGTTGCTTTGATCAGTGTTTTTAGATTTGGAAATGATGTTGTCCCAGAGACAAAGGAAGCACTAATTTTCTAACCTTCTTGACAGATCTATTGAGATTAAGTGGAATAAGTTGATTTCTATGGGATATGGGTCTATTTTATTTTCTGTTTCTGCTGTATGGAGCCCCTGAGAGTGAGCAAGACATCACCCATTAAGGACCTGGTAATCAATCTGCTGAATCTCTGGACAAGGACACTTAGATGATGACAGATTCCTTTTTTTTAATCCGCTGACTGGCCACTCTCATTCTATTTTTCCCTCTTTGTTCAAGCTTTTCACACAATATATGATAAAATCTCTTTTAGTCTCTGTATGAAAGATTCCTCTGTAAGTCTTACCAACCTCTACACTTTTAATAACATTTTGTGTATACTTCTACCATGGCATTTGCAATAAGTTTTTAAATTTAATCTTTGAAATTTTATCTTCTGTACTATACAATGATACCTTTTGAGGATATATGACCAGTTTTATTCAAATTTGTATTCAGATTGCCTGATTAATGCTGATACATAGAGAACCTCTTAAATATTTGATGGAATAAATTGTGAAAGATACTTCTTCACCTACGTCGTGTATTCTCCACACTTGATCTTAGCCAAAAGGCTGAGAAGTGATGTTGTGTATTCTCATATAACGAAAAGCAGGATAATACCATAATCTCTGATAATTTCAAAATAGAAAAAAAACTTGAGAACTCCAACTTTCTCCTCCCCAGCACTAGGATATCAAATTTACACACACACACACACACACATACACACACACTTACATACACACAAACTCATTGTTCCTGAGACAATTTCCAAAATTATAAAATTATCTCTGAGTTGTGCTACTCTCCATATTCTTCAAATACCTTTTAGCAAAGCATTTGTGTAGTATGAGCCTAAAATAGGATGTACTGGGATTTGTATACATTTATCTGATAGGTATCTTGACTTCTCCCAACATTCAAGTATTTTAAAATTTGAATCAAAGCTTTCTGGGCAATTACACATTCACATTTAATCATTTCCATATTACAGGTGCCACTAGGTTTCCCCAAATAAGTTCACAGTAATAAACTTCTTCCTTATTTGTTTCAAATATTTAATTTACTATAGTAGAGACATCTATAAAGATACAAGAATTGAGATAGAATCAGTGTAGGAACTAAACTGTAGGTATCTAAAGTATTTCTGTTTCTTCCCTATTGATGCAAGGCTTCTTCCCCATTGAGGCATATTTGAAAATTGTGTAGCTCAAACTATTTGTTATTTGGTAATGAGGAAATAGAGTAGGGCAGTTTCTATTTCTAGTGCCACATGATACTCAGGAGGTGCTAGCAGAATCTGAGAGTATTTTATCTTCTCCATGAATGTAAACAAAAGAATATTAAAATGTTATTTTGCATTTGACTAGGAATCTGGACAAAAGGAGTAAATAAGCAAGAATCACTAAGGGGAAATCAACAGTTATCTCTTGGGTATGCACAACAGCAATTTATAGGAGAAAGAATGTTGATGAGAATGATACCTGGTCCCATCCTTCTTCATTCCTACTGCTGGGCATCCCAGGGCTGGAATATATGCACACCTGGATTGGATTTCCCTTTTTCTTTGTGTATCTTGTTGCACTCCTAGGGAATGCTACTGTCTTGTTTGCAATCCAGACTGAGCACAGTCTCCATAAGCCGATGTACTACTTCCTGGCCATGTTGGATTCCGTTGATTTGGGCTTGTCTACGACCACCATCCCCAAAATGCTGGGCATCTTCTGGTTTAGTTTCAGGGAAGTAACTTTTGGAGGTTGCTTTGTCAGATGTTCTTCATTCACTTCTTCACTGCCATGGAGAGCATTGTGTTGGTGGCCATGGCCTTTGACCGCTACATTGCCATTTGCAAACCCCTTCAATACACCATGATTCTAACTGGGAAAATCATTGGACTCATTGCATATGTTGCTATCCTGCGGAGCCTCTACATGGTTGTTCCATTGGTGTTTTTCCTTTTGAGGCTGCCCTTCTGTGGCCACCAAATTATCCCTCATACCTACTGCGAGCACATGGGCATTGCCTGACTGGCCTGTGCCAGCATCAATGTTAACATTATGTTTGGTCTTGGCAACATTTCTCTCTTATTCTTGGATATGCTCTTTATTATTCTTTCCTATGTCAGAATCCTCCATGCCGTCTTCTGCCTGCCCACCTGGGAAGCCCGGCACAAAGCTCTCCATACCTGCAGTTCCCACATTGGTGTTATCTTAGCCTTTTTTACACCAGCATTTTTCTCTTTCTTGACACATCGTTTTGGCCATAATATCCCCCAATATATACATATTTTCTTGGCCAACCTCTATGTGGTTTTCCCACCAGCCCTCAATCCTGTAATTTATGGGGTCAGGACCAAGCAGATTCAAGAGCGAGTGCTGAGGATTTTCTTCAAGACAAATCACTAGCTGATTGGAGTTTGGAAGGTTTGTTTGAGAATTTATTTCATCTATTGTTAAAAGTGGTCTTAAATTTAACCCAACAGGAGGGCAGAAGGGAATGTTGCAACCTGTAAATGTCACTACTTAACAGTGAATTGAAGCCTTTGTCTTTAAAAGCACTCCTGAGAAAAATAAAAATTGGAATTTGTTTAAGTATCTACTTTTCCAAATACTTTCCTTAATATTGTTGCATTCTCAAGATAGTCCTACAAAACATGAAACAGCATAAAAATATTTGGCTACTAAGTTTTAAAAAAATTATTACAGTAAAAGACATTGCCATTAATCCCTCTCAAAATACCTCCTGCACACATTTTAAACACACTTCTACCATCATTTTCACCACTTTAGGAAGCAATTCTGGAAGTGGATAAAGTGTGGAATGACCATAGGTGTCATCCCTCATCATGAGGAGGAGCCTGAGACTGGGCTGGACAGGAGTCCTCCCTCCACTCCTGCTGTGGCTGGGGCGCCTTGCTTTGAGAGCAGGGCCCGAAGGAGAAGGGGCGGCCACTCCCCTTGGTTTTGCCTCCTGGTCCTCCACCCCACCCCATGTATCCTGAGGAGCATTCATGTGAAAGTCTTTCTAAGCAGAGTGAGAATAGGATTTTAAGTCCCTTTGTACAGTACTCTGAGGAACGTAAATAAAGGGCTGTATGTTCCTGCTTTTAAAAATCTGCAATCAAAAAGAGGTGAATAATGCTACTGAATGCTGTCCCACAGAAAAGCAGCCTCATAAAATACATTACATTGTTCCCCCTTCCACCTTATTCACTGGATCTGGCAGCGTGACTCTGGCTCTTCTCCAAAGACAAAATATCATGAAAACTAAACATTTTGAATTGATTAAGGACCTTAAGGCAGCCATGACAGCACAGCTAGACAACTAGACAGCCAGGAGCAAAGACTTCCAGAACTGTTTCAGAAAGTGGCAAGAATGATGAGATAAATGTTTTCAAAGTGAGGGGAAGTATTTTGAAGGGGAATAATGGTAATATATCTTTTACTGTAATACGTTTTTAAAAAATTAAATATTTCCTTTATTTTTCAGTTTTACCTCATATTTACATTTGAAATAAATTATATAAATTGACTGCCTCCCCCATTTCTTGTATCAACAGTTTATTAATCTTCTTCCTTTATCATGCACCTTATTGTCTGAAGATTCCAAGCCCTGCCAACTTCAAAAATATTCCCATTCTTCATATGTCTTCTTAGATCTTCAACGGCACTTCTCACCTCACCTTTACATTCCTAGGGCCTCTCTTTACAGGCCCAACCTGTTGTGAGAGACATCTTTGCATATTGCCTTTCCTTTCCTTTCTTTTTAATCTATGTCTAACTGGTGTCCCATTGCTACTAATGTCCTCTGTATTTTAAATATCCACTGTATTTTTAAATTACGCTCCAATATGTGTGTGTATGAGTGTATGTGTGTGTGTGGTGTGTCCTAGAATAGCAAGAATAATAATTTTTCTTGGAGGCCTACACTGCCAGATAACTAAATTTATTCTTAAGTTATACCAGAGACCTATTGTAAAGGAACAATAATTAGGGCAGTTAGTTTTGGTGCAAACATAGAAACCAGTACAGTGAAACTGTGTAGCATTCATAAACAGATCCACGGGCACATTTTTACCTGAATTATGTATGGTACCCATAACACTGTGAGACAGTGAGCAAAGATGTTATTTTCAATAAAATATACTGAGTGAACTGGAGATTCATAAGAAGAAATGGATCTTGATGTTTATATCATACAATAAAAATTATTTTCAAGTAAATTGCGGGTGTAATCAAAATGAAAAAACAATGTAGTATTCAGAAAAAAGAGAGTATCTTCATGATTTTAAGGAAAGATTCTAAAATAAAATACAAGCATATATGGTTAAACTTGGTGCAAAATGCTAACAATATTGTAAACATCTTAGCCAATGTATTTTGCAACTAAAAATTTTCATCAGATTTAGCATTTACAGAGAAAATGAGCAAACCAAATGACTTTCAAGTACATTATAACTGGAATCCACATGTGTTGATGGTAAGACGCTGTCTTGGTAAACTCATTTTTGAGAACTGACAACGCAGCCAAAAGCTAATCATATATATAAATATAGGGCCCCAAAATTCAAGTCCTAGATTTATATCCATTGAAAGCATTACATGTATTTACCAGAAGATACATGCATCAGTCAACACAGAGGCACATTATATAACAGCTAATAATTAACACAGCAGAAATACCCACTAATAGTAGAATGTATGACCATAATGTAATATATTTATACAGCGGAATTCTAAATACCAAAGGGAATGAAAAAATGTAATTACAAAAAACATATAGAATGAAATGACCCAGATAAATATTACTTTTTTATGCATAACACATAAACATTGTTATATATCATTATATTTATTTAAAACTCAAGAACCCAAAGGCTGAATTTTTAAATCGGGTTGATATAAGCTAATATATAAGAATTTCCAATGATTTGAAGGATAAGAAGATATTTAATATTTCCTTTTTATAATGAAACACTTTTATTTTACAAGCTTTCAAACAATATAGAAGAAAAAATGAAATTTCTTTTTTTTTGGGTAACCTCTCTCCAATTTTATCTCCTTTTCCAGAATTGTACATGGTCAATTTTATGTGATTCTTCCATACTTTTTCTTTTTCAAAAATGTTATATGACTGTAGTAAAAATGTGCCACATGCGCTCTACTCTTTTAACATTTTTTGGCACACAAAAGGTTTCTAACAATAGATACAGTGCTGTACATCAGATCTCTAGAGCTCAGATGCATGTCTTCCTAAAGTGAAACTTTAAGACCTTCATTTTAACACCTTATGTCCCCTAACCCCAGCCCCTGGAAACTCTCATTTCACTTTCTGGTTCTGTTAATTTGGGTTCAGGTAGTACTTGTCCTTCTGTGACCAGAATCCTGGATCAAATTCTGAGACCAGAATCATGGAAAGAATTAAGTTCATGGACCGAGGTACCACAGTAGTATAATTCACTTGGCATAATGTCTTCAAGGTTTATCCTCATTGTCACATCTTGCAGAATTTCCCTCTTTTTAAAGACTGAATAGGATTCTGCTATATTTATTACCTACATTTTCCTTATTCACTCATCTGTGCATGGACATTTCTTTCCACATCCTGGGTATTGTGAATGGTGTTATGCATGTCTCCTTGACACCCTAATTGAAATCTTTTGAATAAATATTCAGAAGTAGAATTACTGGACCTTACAGTAGTTCTATCTTTAATTCTTTGAGGGCCAACCACCAGAGTTTTTTCTACAAAGATTGCACAATTTTGCATTTCCATGAACTGAGAATGAGTGTTTGAATTTTTCTCCATCCTTGTCAGCACTCGTATGTTTTTAAAAATAGTAGTTATTTTGATAGGTCTGAGGCAATATCTCACTGCTGTTTTCCTATGTCCTTGATGATTAGTGATATTGAATATCTTTTCATCTATCTGTCAACAATTTATACATCTTTTTCTGAGAAATACCATATCTGTTCAGGACTTTATCCCATTTTAAAATCAAGCTATATTTATTTTTCTATTAAGATGTAGGAATTTATTAGAGATGTAGCAGACTGATCTTTATCTAAAAGATTCACCCTCACTGGTCTATATGGACCGTATACACCCTGATTATAATATTCATGTCAGCTCCCTGCTAGCAAGTAGTGTCATTATCTGAGTGACTAGTTATTAGTATGTCACAAGGCAATTAATTTAATAAATTGCTATTTGGGGGCCACCCAAGAAGAAAAAACTGGTTTCCAGCCTACTGCTAATATTGTTTCCTAATAGGCAAATAGTCTATGATGCTAAAAATCAAGATTGTGGTTATGTTTGAGCAGTAATAGTAACTAAGGGTTGATATAAGATGGCTGCTCAATTACAAGTAATATTTTTTCTTTGATTTTTTTTATGCTGGCACTGTGAAAATGTATCAACTTCCAAAAAATTGCTATATGTCAATATAAAGTATAATAAAATGCATCTCAAGAAACAACATAAATTTTAAAGGTAATGCCTAAAAGAACAAAGCTTTTAGAAGACCACATGAGGGAAAAATCTTTGTGATTTTGTTTAACATGATTTTCATACAGATGACACCAAAAGCAGTGTCCATGAAAGGAAGAGAAAAATATAAAATTGGACTCCATCAAAAAAAAAAAACAATGCTTTTGCTAATTAAAAGATCCTGCATAGGAAATGAAACAGACTGGGAGAAAATGTGTGAAATACATATATAATTTAAAAAAACCTCTTGTCTAGGATATATGCAAAATTATTATCAATTAAAAATAAAACAAAACAAAATTTAAAAGAGAATTCTGATAACTTAATAACTCCATGAAAATCAACAAAGGATCTCAACAGGAAATTTACTACATGAAATGATACAAATGACAAACACACGAACCATGCTCAGCATCATTTGACTTCAGGGGCATACAAACTAAAAACTCCAATGAGATAGCACTAAACCTATTAGAATGGGTCAAAAATAACCAAGAAAATATCAAAGACAAGTGTACCACTGATTTTCTCATGCACAGATGAGACTGACTTCCTGTGGCCAACAACCAGGAGGAATGCATTTAGAGTGAAACAAAGTAGGATTTGTTACTCACTGCAACAAGGGAGACCACATACAGACTGAGGAAATGATGGGCAGGGCTGTGAAGGGGACTTGGATATTGAGTTGGGGTTGGTTTTCAGAAATAGATGGTTTCAAAAAGAGCAGCTAAATCTATTACTAAACATCTTAATTTTTTGATTAATTTTACTGGTACATTTTGGATATACATAATGATCACATTCATCATAGGGAATTTGCACCTGTGCAGAACATGTCTTGATTCCTTTTTCCCCCAATCCCCTTCCATTTCTTCAACCCCTCCTTATTTACAAGAGCATTGTTTCCATTTTTCCT